CCAAGGCTCAGGTGCAGCTCTGCCCAACGCTTTTAAAGGAGCTTTTTAACCAAACCACCAGAGGAGACAGCCTGGCCGTGTCAGATCTGATTTTTCACCGGTTGCCATCGATCCTGAGCTGTGTTGACTTGCACAGGCCCTGAAATGTATCTGCCCACCCCTGGCATGACGCTGCTTCGCAGTGCATTGCTTTCAGTTATGATCATTTCTTGGATYAAGACTAAATATTCTATTGCTTTTCTCGTTTTCTTCCTCTTGCACTRTATTTCCAGAAATTCGTGTGTCCCATACAGCAAAGAAAATAAACCAATTTCTGCAGTGCATTTACTGCAACCACTGCTGCCTCTGTCAGTGCTAATGAGCGACTGCCACAGCTCTTCCAGAGACCCATTCRGGACTCAAAGAAGGGTTTGGGATGGAAGGGACCTTAAAGATCACGTTGTTCCACCCTCTGCCAGGACAGGGACACCTCCCACTGTCCCAGGGTGCTCCAAACCCTGTCCAGCCTGGCCTTGGGCACTGCCAGGGATCCAGGGGCAGCCACAGCTCCTCTGGGCACCCCGTGCCAGGGCTCCCCATCCTCACAGGGAAGGACTCCTTCCTTAAATTTCATCTAATCCAGGTCTAGAATCAGTAACCAAGAGAAGGTCTGATCCCTCTGTAGGAGCAAAAATTCAGAGTTCTCTGGTCTGACCCAAAGCAGATCCCCAAATGAGCAGCTCAGGTCCTACCCCRTCCCAGTGCAGGGCTCAGCTTTTCACCAACCCGTGATCGTTTCTCCATCCCTTCTTCACTAAAGCTTGTGATGCTTCAATAGCTGGAAAATTCCTGGAAACCTGTGATTGAAAATTCTTGTTGAAATGGCAAATTTGCTTTATTTTCTTTATGGTGTGTTGGACTTGATGATCCTGAAGGTCTTTCCCAAGCTGAACAATTCTGTGATAAGAAGGTGGTTTGTTGCACACACACTCTCCATGCCCCAGCACCGTTGTAACCATTTTCATTTGATGATAAATAGAGATAAATATAAATATAGATATAGAATGGACCTAGAAGTGGCCACCAGCCCCTGGTRAAGGTCCAGCAGCTCCCAGTGTTACAGGGCACAGTCCAGGGATGTCACAGGACATGGAGAGGACAATCCAGTGCCACCAAGCCCAGGAGAAATCCTGATCTGCTGAGGCAAAACGGCTCTTGCTGCCACTGCTGCTGTCAGACACAACAGAAGGGACAGGCTGCTCRTGAGGTGTAATTAAGGTGTAATTAATTAGAAAGAGATAAAGCAGCCCCTGATCTGGTGCACGCCGCTGACAAAGGACAGAAGGGGTTTGGTGGCTGCATCTCTTCCCTGCCCATCCCAGGGGTCTCTCTCTCAGCAAACATACCCCAAGCAGCACATTTGGGGCTTTTTTGAGTTTCTGTGCCATTTGAGGTTTGCTTTAGACATTTCCATGGCAGCGTTTTGTGCCRAAAAAGGGCAGAATTGTGGTGTCTTGTGGTCCTGGCTGCAGAGCAGCTGCTCRTGGAGGCTTTGCCCATTTTCCTGCTGACTGCACCAGGGCTGTGTCAGCCCCAGGTTGTCCAGGATTGCTTCCCCATGGGCCCCACCTCTGSACTGAAGTCCCTTATTCCCATTATTCTTTCATCACCACAAATATCTGCAATGTTGTTAAACACGTGAGAAAGAACTTATTAAAATTATTAACCAGTGGGTAACTGAGACAGTTCTGAACATTATATATTTCTGCACTCACTGGATTTTTAAGTCAAGATCCATTTTGTTTTTTCAGTAAGATTTGTTGTCCACTCTGAAAATAAAGATATTAGAACCTCGTTATTTCAAAAATTGATCTGAAGATATTTATGAGAATGAGCTTTTCTGGGGCTTTACATGAATTTCTCAGGGACTTGGCTACAAGGATGTAGCTTTCTCTAAAATTATATAGGCAAAGCCAAAATCCTATTAAAACATAAAACGCCTTTTGTCTTAATTTCAAAATCCTACAAAACCTTTGAGCCTGAAATAGTACCCAAGCACTTTACAATAACAGTTGGTTTCCTACAACTTTAGGACTTGTAATTACYCAGTACAGCAGTAATTTTCAATTGGCCATATCTTGATGAAGAGATGGAACAAACACTGCCACACGTGTATGAACTTGACTTTTGAGTCCAATTTTACTCCCTTGGAAGGAAGTATATTTTGACTTGAAAATTGCATGTGGTGAGTGACTGYACAGTCATGGGGGAAGAGAAATCTTTCTCTTCATGGGAGTTTGTTGACATGTCTGCCTTGAAAAGAACTTCATTGTTTGCCTCTGAAGAATGAAAAACTCCCAATGTAAGAATGTAGTGATTTTTTCTTCCTGTTGTCTACCTTAAGAAAATTATCTGTACAGTTGCAACCAGTGATTTTTTTCCTGTGTTAATGCTATAATATATCTGTAATTACCATGATCAAAAATKAATTAATTTTGTGTGCTCCATGGCTTTCTTCCTCAACTGAAATGCAATTAACAGTCAGGATTAGTGCAGTGGACAGCAAAGGCGCTGCCTCAAGTTTTATGGCTCTTGCAAAGTTACAGTGCTTGAGTATCTTAAATCTCCTATTCTACTTTATTATCCCTCTGAACCCCGCCTTGCTCCCCTGCCCAGGCCTTCAGAACCACCCACGGTTACACCCTCAGCTCTTGTCCTCTTCCAGGGCCTAAAGTTCTGCCAGGTCACCCCAAACATTCATTTGGATTTGGGATCTGGGATTTGTAAATTCAGTTTATAAGATACCAGTGTTGCTGCTGTAGACAATGTTCTCCTTGCCCCGCACACCCCATGTGTGAGATGGTTCCTGGGGTGGAGGTGGAGGCAGTGCTGCCCTGATTCTGGTACACATCAACCAGAAATGTCTTGGAGGGTCATCCAGGGAAGTCACAAGGACCCACTGGGTGTCCAGGCAGGCTGTGACACTCCCAGGAACAGTCTGCCTTCTTGATTTCCTCCTGCTCCAGCACAAATCCTTAACCTGAGGATGTGACTGGACTGCTTTCTGCCAATGAAGCTGCTCAGGGCCCTTCCCCAAAACCTCCCCTGTCCCAGGACACAGGCGTGGAGCACAAACAGCTGAGGGAAAGGTGCTCACAGCACACAGACAAAAACTGGAGCCACTGCACCATGAAATATTGCCACTGCCTTCATCTGGGCAGGTCCCAGGGGAGAGGAGCCTCGTGGCAGGATGAACAGCACCCAGCTCAGCGCTCGAGGTGTTTGACCTGGATCTGTCACCAGCAATCTCTCTGCACTGCTGGAACCTCTGGTGACAAGGCCAGCATGGTCCTTGGAAAATTCCRTAAATATCAGAAATATTTGTCTGTTAGGAGAAGCTTGAAGGGGAGAGCAGTAATGTGTGGAAACCCTCTGCTCAGGAGAGGGAGGGCATGGCAGAAGGTGAAGGACCACATGTCCAAGCACCAAAACCTGTCAGGGTGCACATCTGTGCTGGTTTAAAGGTGATGGTGAGCCAGAGACATGTCCAGAGCTCTGGAGCTGGGAGAGCTGGGTCTTATTCTGCTGCTTTTTCTCCAGAGGCTCTATCCAGATAGAGCCTGTGCCCAGATATCTGCAGGGTCTTTGAGTTCACCATGCCAGGCTTCCCCTTCCCCTYGTCCTGCAGAAATAGTTTGTCTATTTAAAAGACCATTTGAAACAGTATTACAGCAAAAAAAGAGGAAGGAAAGCTTCCACCATTAACTGCCCTGAAGTGTGGTGTTTAGTCCAGGGGCCATCTCCTTTCTGTGGTAATTAACTCTGAAATCTTGATTAGCATTATCTCAGCTAAGCCATCTTTAACATCTGCCTGCATTCGGCCGCGTCTGTCACAGGGGGTTGGGTGTTTCAGGAGGGGCCTGGCTCTAATCTGTCCCCAAATGGATCTGGTGACACCACTCCTGTGGGATGGCATCACTGCCCTCAGACAGAGCACACTGGACACTGCAGAGTTGATGTAAAGCCTGAGTAGCTCCCCAGGGGCTCCCACAGGGTGCCACCAGAGACACAGAGCACCCTCGGTGTGCCACCCTGGGCAGAGGTACCACCTGGGGGCAGGCAGTGCTGGGTCACTGCTCCACACAGTGCTGGCACATGGTGTTCCATGGATCCAGGGGGAATGTGGTGACTGGAGCAGATTCCCAGGAGCTGGTAACAAGTGGGAGTGAGCAGGGMGCCCTGGAGAGGCTGTGAGGGCCGAGGAGGAGCAGCCAGGCTGGTGCCACCCTGCAGCGCTGCCACCATTTCCTCCAGCTACCTTCATCCACCATCAGCTCTGCTGTGCTTACTCCTGGCAACCAAAACAGCTG